TATGCTTAAAAAATTAAGAATACATTGATTTGCATTCAACACTTTACATACTATGCTACCCTAAATCCAGTTAAACTGGACAAATTATGCCCACATGCAGTTATTCAGTGTTTTTGAGCACTAATGACAACCATGATAGGCTCAGAAAAGCATATTGTTGCATATTGTGATGTAATTTATCACTATAGCAATATTGCCTGTTGTTACTGTGTCTTTAAGCCTGACATATGTAAATGATCTCTGCTCTGATTGGCTGCCCTGTATTGTGATTCATTCAAAAAGCAGTCCAGGCTAAAACACTCCTTACAACTTAACCATGAATGGGTGGAGCTAAACTTCTGAATAAATGGATATTTATGGATAAATGGATAAAAAAATATTGTGTTTGTGTGACATTACCAAAACAGCGAATTCAAAACGAGTCATTTTGATTACTGAAAAGAGATGAAATCTAACAATGTTGATATACTACAAAGAATAATTTTATTTCAAAGCAATGAGGAACATTCCGGTGTCCTTGATATGGGACCTTTAACAGTACAAAACATCCCTGTTGCTTTTTTGCAGTGAGAACAGTAAAATAGTCTAATATACTAACAAAGTACTTCATTTAAGACACAGGAACTGAAACAAGTCTTTCCTCCAAACTCTGCATGCAAATTACAAGGCTATCATTTGCCTTGGAGTTGAAGGATGTTGAACCCAGTCCAATGCCAAAGACAACAGTGGCCTACGCCAGTGAAACAAAGTGAGCAGCCTTCAAAATAAATAGATATAAAATAAATGGAAAAAGAAAACAAAACAAAGAGAATTATAATTAGAGCAGGCTTTGTCCATGACTACGTGCGAAAGACAGGGAGATGTTGATATTTGATCAGTCGTGGAGTAAAATGTGTATGTGCTGCCTTTGTTTGAAGTACCTGCGAACTGACCACTGTATGGGACGCCAGCTCGGAAGTATCCGCTGCTTTCATCTCCTTCTAAATATGCCTCTGATCTTTTCCCCTCTTTGCTCTCTTTGTACCGGTAAAGCGGGTTTTGAGGGATTCGTATGTGTCTCACGTTGCGTTCATAGAAGAGTCGGATGTGCAGAATTGCAGAGTTTTCCTTGTAATCTCTGAATCTCCTTCTTCGGCCTTTCATTTCCAATTCATGAAAGGCTGAAAGGATGGAAACAGCACTATCAGGTTTGCATTTGAAATTTGTTTTAGCCTCAAATGACCTCTCCCCCACCCCCATTCTCTCTCCCCTTCTGCCTCCCTCTCCCTTTTGTTGAGGTTCAATCTGAATAAAGCTTCAGTGACTATTGCAATTATGGAATTAAGTGTATGACAATGCTCGGTCTTATGCTAGCTGCATGCGCTACAGTATAGTACAGGTCAGAATGTCATGGGACACTTGTGTAGTAGGTTTCATTCTCACAAAACTCGACCAGGGGGAAGAATTGACCTCACAGTCTAAATTGAGTAACAATGGTTTGTATTGTTTCACACTAAATAAGTACATTATGCTGCAGATTGTCTTCAGCGATTACGATGTTTCATTCATATTCTTTCATAATGAAAGTGCCTTACAGTCAAACAGCTTGATTTTCTTACTGTGTCTTAAGACTGATATGTAAATGAGCTTTGTTGTGATTGGCTGTCCTATATTGTGCCTCATTTGAAAAGCAGTCCAGGCTGAAACACTCCTTATAGCTTAAGCGTGAAAGGGTGGGGCTAAACTGCTGCAGGCTGAATTCATGGTTATGTGTAAATGGATATGGATATATAAATGTAAAGGTATTCATGACAACACAGAAACAGTAAATTATAAGTATAATGAAGGCTCTCTAGAGGTGTTTGAATCCATTTTTTTCCCGTTTATTCAAAAACATAGTATCAAAATCACAAAAATACAGAATCAGAGACAGTCCAAAATAGTCAAAAACCAAGATAGCTTACAAAAACCAGCAAAAGTACCGACAAAAGTCCAGAAAAAATAGTCCAAGAATTCAGAAAAAAGACCAAGTTAACCATGAATCCAGCAACAGCAGTGATAAAAGACTCTGTACGCCAACAAACCAACATTACTTTGCAGAGAGCATGTGTTTGTGTGGGTCTTACAAAGGGAGGTAGACGAGCTGCAGGTGAAAGAGATCAAGGCGTCATTAGGAAACATCAATACTCAGGTGAGGGTGACGTCTGGTGTCGACGGCGGGTATTACACCTGACAGGTTTCCATGATATGGGCCCATTAATGTGTTCAACTACATGCTGTCAGTGCACCTTTTTCTAAATTAGCAATAGGTTTTAGCGTTTCTGCCCGTTTCTCCTCTGCAATTTTATTTTTAGTCTTCTTTCTTCAGTCTTCCTTTTCTTCAGAATATTACACACAGCTGATTTTGACATTTTCAGCTGCACTGTAATGGCACATATTGACATTTACCCTAAAAAAGCTTCCTGTGGAAAAATCCCTGTCTGAAAGTGTGTTACCGCACAGCGTTTCCACTACTGCAGTGAGGAGTATGCCTGAATTAAACCAGTCTTTTTTTAAAGCATTACAATTACTTAAAATTACAAACTGTCCAGTAAATTAGTTTGTGATCAGAGAGGATCTGCAAATATGTCTGAAAGAGCAGTATATTTATCGTTTTGTCAACAGAAATGCTTTATGTTTTGCATTTTTATAATGAAAACAGGCACTTCAGTTTCCTTGCGTGAGGACTGTGGAAGCGGTGGAAATTCATTTTTAGTAAAACGCGCCATCTGCTGGTGGTCTGACATTAAAGCAGCTCAACTTCACCTTGTAGTTTTTGCTACGGTTACTGACCACTTAACACAAACACCTGGCCTTTAGGTCCGTGTGTAGTCGGGGTCTTCTCTAGTGGGGTGAAGAATGGTGACGATTCCAGGGTCCCATAAACATTACAGTAAGCAGGATGAATTTGATATATATCGGTGAAGTGCAATATGATTATTAATCTGTTGTACAGTTACCTGTCACATAGTTAAATAGCTCAAAGAGCATACAATATTCATTAATGTAGTTTCAATCTGATCCCCTTAAAAACAAAACACAAACAAACAAACAAACCTCACTGGCACTCTGCTACGCTTCCTTGAGCTTGTACTTTTATTTAGCTGAGATGAGAGACTGTACTGAGTGAGAGTATGAGAAAGAAAAACGCTTCAGGCAAAAACAAGGGTTTATTCCAAAAAAGACATGAGAGAAAGAGGAGAGGGGCACAGGCTATATCCCCCCACAGGAAAGGTGTGTTTATTACATTGTTTCAGCAGTCCAAGTAAACAAGCTAAGAACATTAGCTGACTAACTAGGCAGGTAGAGGCAGTTAAAGGCCGCTAGCTAGCTCAGTTAGCTACCCGACTGAAATATGCCGTTAGGACGAAGATTTTATGTCCAAACAAAGACAAGGGTGTAAAGAAGGAAGGAGCACACTTGCACAGCACCCTGGTTTGAGTGCTAACAGCGTTTGGAGCATCTTCAGCCCGCTAAGTGTGAGTCAGTGTATGTGCGGGTTCTTCATATTTAAAAATGTCCATGTAACTATATTCACAGTGTTGAGAATCGCTGCAGACCCCGCCATACAATATTACCGTGCTACTCAAGCCGTGAAATAATTCCATTTTTTCAGTATTTACAGATTTGAGTTGTGTTAAAGTTAAGTATTGTGATGACATTTTACAGTATATTACTTTTGGCTACCAATTATTCATTCTTTTTAACGTCTGACTAACTTGAAATTACTATGTTCATCTCACTTGCAAAGAAAAACACAATGTGTGGTAGACAAATTAGCAGCAAGTGAATAAAGTTAAAACCTAGTCCATTGACTGGGTGGCCTACACTATTGAAAAAGACGCTTCTTCAACGGTTCTTTAGAAAAAATGGTTCTGTATAGAACCATGAACACTGAAAGAACCCTCTGCATGATTAAAGGGTTCTTTGCATCATGAAATGGTTCTTCAGACTGATGGTGATTGTGCTGTACATGCTTCTGTATAGAACCTTTTTGAAAATGGTTCTTCTATTGTTATGATGTCAAGATTGAAGATCTGAAGAACCCTTTCATGATGCAAAGAACTCTTTAATCATACAGATGGTTCTTTGAGTGTTCATGGTTCAATATAGAACTATTTTTTTGTACTTAAGAACCCTTGAAACACCATCTCTTTTAAGAGTGTAGACTGTAGTGGTCTTTCTGATTTCTCCCTAGAGTGGGGAATCAGTCTACTTTGGTTATCTATTGATCTAAACAAATTCAATGCATATTGAAAGTATTAATAATTAATAAAATGTTGATACTTTGGCCTCCGTATATCTATGCTACTTTTTAACCCACCTATTTTCTAAATTATACTGTATTGATGTGTCTCCTACTCCATCTTGCGTCTCTTTTTCAGTGGTTGCGGTCTGTATAGAGGACATGTAAGGTGGACCTCATAAAGCGGTCAGTGAGTGGAAGTACGGTCAGTAAGGTAGGTGTTTCCAAAAAACGTGGATGTTGAGTGTAAATCTGGAGGATATCCAGTATAAATACTGTCTTTATACTATCAGATAATTTAGTTGTTGACAAACACATGAAACGTGCATTCATTTATACAGCATTTTGTTAATGTGTGAATTTAATTTTACAAAAATTAACTGACTAAAGTACCAACAGACTCTCACAAAATGACACACAAGTTGCAACTACAATACCATACGTGGAGAACAATACTGACTAAAATGCTAAAAATTGCTATGAATTCTAGGATGGACTAAGAACATTGTCTATGAAGGAAATGGTGATTTAAATAGAAACATTTTGGATTTTAAATAAAGAAATTTTGAGTTAATAATTGGTATAATTTACTTCAGATTTGTACAGGTGAGTGTCAGTTTGGCTTTCCTTGGGAATCAGTGCTAAAACACTGTGAACAGAAGGTGGATTTTACAGAGCGTTATGAACAGAGATACTGTACTTTGCATTTTAGATGCCCATTTATTTCTGTGTAGAGTTATAATGCCTCTTGGTGTCGCACAGCTCCATATACGACCGTGGTGGCCACATTGGTCCTCTTCTGTACAGTTCTCCTCTGTTTGTTCCCGAAAGTCAGAGCAGCGTAGTTTACTTCATCTGTCTTCTGTTTTTTACAAAAAAGTCACTGAGATTATTTTCATAGCTTTGAGATTCTAAATGTTATATTGTACATTTATCAGTTTAATCAGTCCACATTTAACTACCACTTACATTATCACTTGCGCTGCTAACCTCACCTGTTACACCTACAAAAACATACACACATGTAATGCACACTATAAATTGCATTTGTGGTAAAAAGTAACAGCAATATATTTAATTTTATGAAATAAATGAATAAATTACTAAGTGTTTCATGAAGTATAATGCTTTAACAAAGTGTTAAATGTAGAACTTTGCACATGCTTTAACAACTCGCTAATTCTTCTTTGTATTTATGTGGATAAATATGACATGCTGTTTATGATTCTCAGTAGTAGAGTTTTTACACATTCTTACCTGATCTTTTCTTCCTTAAGAGATGAATGAGTAAAATGATGAACAATATGGATGCCACATTAGTTGTTGCTAATGCAGGCACTAGGTATTGAAACCATAGCCTTTTTCCTGGAATCACAAAAAAAGTAATTTTTAAAGATAAAGATAAGTTTAACTGAAATATTCATATGATTTTTGCAAGTACATTTAAAGCAACTGTTCATCTCACGTAAAATTAAATGTGATGCATTTAAATTATTATACAGTAATGAAAATGGTTGTTAAGTGTCCCAATTAAATAACTTTATAACAAGAGGGCACAGTTAACTATAAAGTGTATGACAGAAGCAGATCACCTACCATCTATCTTTTCATTGTCTTTGGTCGTTGTGTTTGGTGAAACTGCTGTAAAACAGTACATTCACAAGTAATATGTGTAATCTTACTCTGAAAATCAATTATAGATTTAAAACTTGGCAAAATAGTCTGATTGAAAAGACTGGATTCAGCTTAAAGGTCTTACTACTAGTATGATAGTAAATTATTGCTTAACGAATAGGTTAAATATAACAAATGATAATTTTGTCTGAGCACTGGATTTGGAATATTTAAAGAACAATAAGGACTAAAATCCAAAAAGCCCAGAAACTGTTTGTTTGTATTTTCTTAATTTGTCAACCCAGTCTATTTTAGTAAAATGTAGATTCTGTAAAGTTTTATGTAATAATAAAATTTAGCTGATGGATAATCACAGTGTATTTAATAGAAGCATTGAACAGCTAGGCATTTACTAAGTGCGTCTTCATATTAAAAATAATTAAGTAGTAAAATTGAGACATCAGTCCTTTCCATAGTACTCACCCTCAGAATGTTCTTCAAGCATGAGCTTACTCCCATTTCCCAAAAAAAGCTTTTCATAAGCAAAAAGCCCACAAATGTATGTTGCAACATCTGCTTGTTCCACTGATGAAAACGACAGATTGAAGGTCTTTTGGTTCCATGTGCCTTTGATTCTGGAATGGTTTTCAAATTGTTCACCCATTGCCACATCGTCCTTTAATGATTTAGCTGTAGCTACACAGACTGGAGCTTTATTACGAGGAATTTTGATCCAGAATAAATAAAAGTGCCCAGTTAGCAGAATGTGACACTTGAGACTGGTGGAGTGTCCAGGCTGTACCTTCACTGTTGAGTCCAGCTGTGAGATAAAACCTCCAGAAGCATGTCCACCTTAAAATGACAGGATGCAGAAATGCAGTGATTATCTATTGACTTAAACTTGAGAATCATATGACAAACTATTAAAGGAAAATTCATATCTTTGTGCCTTAAACTGTGAATCTGTTAATTTCCATGTTTTACTGGTTAAACATTTTATTTTGTAGCCAAGTTTCTCTAGATTAGATGGATTCAACAAGAGGTAAAGGTATATACTCACTCTGGACCACGACTAGAAAAGTTAGATATAATAATCCAGTCATATTGAGGTTGACTTAAAGAGGACTTTCCTCTGATCATCTAAAATTTGAACTCTCCTAAGATCAAGGAAAGAGGTGGGCTGATGTAGGGTATTGCCACTTTTACATGCAACTTGCTGATTGGTCAGTTTCACTTACATTTGTTGACTACGATAGCTGACATATGTAACTCTTAAAATGTTTTCAATGCAGCAAAGCTTCTCTCAGTGAATGCTAAACCCTTTGTCAGTATTATGGAGATGATGAAAAGGACCAAAGATTAAGAATAACTAGAAGAACTAGAATCATATCATGTCTTTTAGATCTGAAATGTCTGAAAGAACTATTTATTGGATGTATAGATTTTGGAAAAAATATTTGGTGTAGAACCTTTACATTATTTAAAGGTTCTTAAAACTTGATAAAGGTTCTTTGCACTCACACATCTTACAAAAAATGTTCCTTAATGAATCATCCAGTAAAAGAATTTTTAGGGTACCAAAAGTGATTGTTCTACAGCATTGCTCCAAAGTCCTTTTTGGTTACATATATATATATATATGGTAGGTCCATATTAGAATCTTAATACTAAAGTTTTTCTTGCATTCAGAAAGAAATATGGGATTCCAAGAACATGCAAAAGGCTAAAGACATTCAAGGAAGACAACCAAAACTCCATACTGGCTCAAAGATTGTGAGACTTGTAACTTGAAAAAAAATACACACTATGAAACATATACGCAGAAGACATTAAAGGGAGCACTATATTTCTGATTGCATACATGCTTCTTGTTTCTTGTAGAGTCATGTATACATACAGAAAGAAGAGTTTGCATTGACTAGTTGACTGATGTGTCCACTAGTCGGTGCTGTGGGCTTCTGTTGACTAGTCAGGCACAGTGCCTCATTTTATAGATAAAAGACAGCGGTGGCAGCAGTAGACTGTAGGCAGGGAAAGGGTCCAGAAGGCAGATTTTCTGCTCAACAAGATGCCAGACATATTTTGCTAGTTTGGAAATCCTTCATAAGAGCATAAACCAATTCCACTGTCAATGGAAAGTTGTTTAAGACTTCACTGAAATACAGTCTTTGTAGCTAAATTCCTAGCTATCGCTAGAATATGTTTCAAGGCCCTGTATAATTAAACAAGGATCAAGCTAACTAGAGGTCAGTGACCATTGTAATTAGGGAATTCACTCAAGCTTGTGCCTACTTGTGCCTACTTTTACAACATAAAATAGGCCAGAATGTCACGAAACCTTATTGTCTTTTTTGACTGGTGAGCATGGAGAAAAATATAGGACGTTATAAAAATATTGTGTATTAAGCATGTTGGCTAGTGTTTTAGATGGGGCTAACATATTGGCTTGTGGCCAGAGCATTAGGCCGGGATACATAGCTAGTGTTTCAAAAATTGCACTTTTATAATGTTGAATGCTCTTACAACATTTACATTAACTTATCACTATCAGGCATATTTTTTGTAGCCACTTCTTTTTGCTATATTGAAAACTGCATTGAATTAAGACACCACTATATTGTACTGATGCTGAATCTGATATTTTGTGTACATTTACATCCCTAATAATCCTGAGAATGGTGTCTCTTCAAAAAGATGTCCCCAATAATCAAAGTCAGGTTCATAGTGTAGGTAATGGCCAAAGTTGGGTAGGTTTTTTACTTGTAGGGATGTAATGATACACAAATTTCATAATACAATGCAAAAATTAGTTTTTGTGTACCACAATATGATAAATACATATATATATATATATATATATATATATATATATATTTATACACACGCACACACACACATACATATGTATGTGTGTGTGTGTATATATATATATATATATATATATATATATATATATATATATGTATTATGGCTCAAGGCATTTTTAAAAACAAAATAAAATAAAATGAACAAAGGGTAATGTTTATGTTAAATGTTGCACATGTATGTTTGGCAAATGTGTCGTTATAGGTAATAAAAACATAACTATTAAACCAATTAATTTCTTTTCAGCAAACTATGGAATCCAGGGCTCTACAGCTGAGCAGTGGCACAAATCAGAAGCTATTAACATCCCTATAGAGCGAATTATTTGTTTTGCCTGTCCAGTAATGTCTGAGGTATTAGCATTGTTATTAGATACTGATGCTGAACAGTGGCATACTACCATACTTTGCTCTTCATTATTGTACTTGACTGGGTAACCGAAGCGTTCCCAGACAGGAGATGCAATCAAGGATAATTTCATGCTTGTTCCAGCTTAAGCTTGCTCTCTCTGCTTGCCATTTCTAACAGCTTGGCTAATCAACCATCCAAGGCTGACTAACCAAATCAGTGGTATAGTGTGCTTTGTTTTTGAAAACCACTCATTTCTATTCATTTATAGTTATTACTTTTTGGAATATCAGGGATTGTGTTAATAGAAGTGTAGAAGTAATTCCCATTATCACACATTTTACAGCATGAAATCTAACTATATTGAATTCACAGTGTGTACATAAATACATATGTTAACATGCATATCATGAGTCCCCTATTAGAATGTGTAATTCTTAAGCACAACTTAAACACAATAATTTCTATATTTGATGAGTGTTTCTGCAGTAATCCCATGTTCAAATTAAGTCTCACAAAATCTTTTGCTCAGTTGACTTTTCAGTTGATTTTGCTGCACTGCAGTGGCACGTTTTCAACATTTCATTCCATTGTATATAATTTTTATTAAGGAATGACAAATTCGACTTGACTTGGCATATATTGGTGTTTGTCTTAAAAGACATCCTACAGTAAACCCACTGAAACATTTCCAAATGAATGTGTATGCTTTTCATTGTTTTGTATGGTTTTGAAAAATAAACATTATACAAGTAAACCTTCTCTTAGAAGATTATGGAAATTTTAAGGATTAGGATTTTTAGCTTAGCATGCCACCTACTGGCGGTGTGATAGTAAAGCAGCTAACAACCAGTAGACTTCACTTGGAGTCAGTAATATGGTTTTACCACTGATGGGTTTTTGTTTGTACCAAAGGCCCCTTTTTCTAGACAACTAAATTATTTTTTTACTACTTAAAATAAATTAAGTGAGACGAAGAAATTTTGTTTAGACCTACTTGCTGCTGTGTCTGTTTGCCAGCAGGTCAGTCATAAAGGTCTTGAAATTTGTTTTTTAAGTAATCACTCACTTTATTGCACTCGTACCAGCACTACCATGCCACTACCATGCCAGTGTCACTGCTGTATTGAGAATGATCCATCAAAAAATATATGGTCATATTTGGTCACCAGCGGTTTTGTGGTCAAAACTGACCAGTGTTGAGGGGGGTAGACAGAGGTTGACAAATTGTATGTGACAACAGACAATAACAGTCAGTAAACGTACATCTGTATAGAAAGATGGATCTCATAAAGTGGTCAGTGAGTAAAAGTACAACAGCTATTTCTAATAAAATGGATGGTGAGTGTAAATATGGAGCATATAAAGACAAAATATTTACTGCATGCCAGTTACTATCTGATATTTAAGGAGTTTTTAAAAAGAAATTCATGAAACATCTATGCACTTTTTGTAATGGTCTGCTGATAGTATGTAACAGACAATAACACAATATATTACAAAAGTAAGATAAAATGATAGAGAGCTGGCAGTAAAACAAACACAATGATAAATTTCACCATCAATTCTGAACTGATCTGACAAATAGATTGTGAATTAGATTTAATGATGGGGCCATGTTTACTCTAGTTTACTTCACTTTGATAAATGCAACAATTTATGTAGCTTTTTGTTTTAAGAAGTGAGTGATGAAACAATGTGGAGTGGATTTTACAGAGCATTATTCACACAGACACTGTACTCAGATGTGCATAGATTTTGTTATAATTTAGCTAAAATTCCTCTTTGTGTCGTACAGCTCCATATACGACTGTGGTGTCCACATTTGTTCTCTTCTGTCTGGTTCTCCTCTGTTTTTGGCCAAAATTCAGAGCAGCGTAGTTTAATTCATCTGTCTTCTGTTAAGGAAGAAAAATCACATTTTAAAAGGACACTTTATCCAAAATGAAAATGTCATCAATACATTTGGTGTAAACACCATAATACTTTTCTACAGTTGTATTCTCTAGAGCTCGATTTTGCAATTTAAAGACTAGGAAAATACCCTTCTGATGATATATCTAGAAAGTAGGATGAACTTTTGAACAACTACAGCTGCTTTGGGGTGGATTTTTGGGGGAGGGCTGTTTGATTTTTTGTTTTCTTTTTGTTTTTGAGGGAAACTTCACTAAGAAGCCGATTGTCTTATTGCAGTTGTATATCCGTGGTAACTCTTCAAATCATCATTACAAGACTTGTTATTTGAGGGTGACAGCAAGCTAAAACAAAGGTCAGCAAGGTAACCGCCTGGCTATGTACCTTAACTCAGTTTGTCATCTTTTCTCTGGCTGAAAGGGTAATAAACTTGTCACAAAGTTTATATAATAATGAATTCTGTCAAACCAGTGAGACTAAGGGCTACAGTGCTTCACTACAGAATACTGCATAACACAGAAAATAATATGATGTATACTAATTTAAAGACAGAATTCCCCCTTAAGCATTTAAGCATTAATTACAACCTCAATTATGTGGAATATTTAAAGAGCTCTGGGACAAATATCATAGCTTTTTGGATTATGTTTTCATAACTTTAAATTGTTGTATTGTACAGGTATTTAATTCATCAATCCACATCTAACCACCACTTACACTGTCACTTGCAGTGCTGACTTCACTTGTTACACCTACAGAAATAGATACAAATACATAGCACACACCATAAATGCATTTGTGATCAAGATAAGAGTTTTTAAGCAATATCTGAAACAAATAAATTGCTAAGCATTTAAATCAGTATCTTCAACCGAGACAACAACAGTGTGACTATGCTGAAAATTCTTTGTTATATTTATTTAATATGTGGTTACATATGACATGCTGTTAATTCTTACCTGATTTATTCTTTGTTAAGCGGCGACAAAGAAAAATGATGAGAAAAACTGATGCTCCATTAGTTG